TTGCATTTTATATCTTGATAATTATTGAATTATTTTAATATTTGTATTGTGAAAGATGAGTAGCCAGTATTGCATATAATATAAATCATTTTTGCAACATGATAAATTATTCAATAACATATACAAGATCCCAAATAACAGCCAAAAAATGATTTCAAATATTTCCTTTCACTTTGTCTAAATGTCTTAGTGTTACAAAGGACTGTTGTCAGTTTCTATGGAAACTGAACACCTGCATCTTATTCCAGAGACAACTTGATTTAAATAATCAAAACCTGAGAACAGATCGGACTGGATTACAACTTTCATCAGACAGACATCATTATTTTCTGGGAACTGCTAAGCCTCTGTTGCCACCTGGACTCACACACTTTGATGATCCTTCTTGTTGTTGCTGCCTGATCTGTGCCCTCTCTGAACAACTAAAGCAGTAAGTGCACACTCCCCATTTCATTTTCCAAGCAACCTTACAAGGCAAATTAGGTTGAAAAGTAATGATCACAATTCCTCAGTGAGTTCCATGGCCTATGAATCCCTCAGTCTTAAACTGACACTCTTAACTCCTATCCCACACAAGTCATCTTCAGACAGTACATTCAGAAATTCATGGAGAAGAACAGCTAGGTTGCCATCAGTTGAGTCCAAGAACAAAAAAGTACAAAAGCTCAGTCTAAAAGTCTGAGTGAAGTAAAAATACACAAAAACAAAAGTGCAAAAATTGAGATGCCATCAGCGCCTTAGCAGGTTCCAGAAAATACAGATGTCTAATGAAGATTGTGGTCCAGACTGATCCATTCCATTTTCTGTTCTTAAGTTTCGATTATCTGAATGAAGTTGTCTTTGGAATAGGATGCTGTCATCCAAGTGTAGTTATATCAAGAAACATGGAAACATGGAAGTAAACTCAGAACTCATTTTCTTATTTGAGTCCAAGTAAGAAAAAAGAAAAAAGAAAAAGTTTTGCCAGCTGAAATCATGCGGTTATAAGCAGGGGTCTCTTTTTGAAGTTTTTTCTGTTGTGGAATTGCTGTTTTTTTTGGGGGGGTCAAGAATACATTTTAAAAATTGGCAGTATTTCACAGGCTATGAAGGATACATTTTAATTCTCCTTTCGATCCATGGGGAAAGAGGAACATTCTTGCACATCCTTTCCATTCCAGATTTCTCCCTCCAACTTTTTTTTCTTATGGCTCCTCAAATAGGAGGATTTCTCAACACCACTGAATTTGGGGGTGGCAGGGTTAAAACAGAACACGCAAAAGTAACAGCCTTAATAGGAACTGTAGTGACCCAATTAATAAAATAGAGGTTCGGGTTGATAGGTTTAGTTGACATTGGCTACTTACCTATTTCCAACTTGAGATCTTCAACTGACAATTTAAAGCTTTTTAAAATTGCCACTGGAACCCACATCTTTTTTGTTTGCTTTTTAAAAAGCATTCATCTCAGCACCTTGACATTTCTTAAGCAAATCTTAAATCTCAATGATCGTACAGGAGACTGTGACTTTTCAACCCCAAAGTTCTGCTGTCGTTGCTTTACAAATTGCATACAATACAGTACTTGCTTGCACAAGCTGTGGGGCTCAAGAGCATAGACTTAAATACAAAGTCGTGTAAATCCAGAAACACGTATCGGGAGGAAAAGAACAATCTTTTCAGACCGGATCATGACACGGCTCAGATACCTACGCCACGCTTCGTTTTCTCCCAATTATAATACTGCGTTAGGAAACGCTCGCTAGCGGGAATTGGGCTATCCCACCCATGTGTGCCCAAGTTTTTCCCCCAGGCCCCCTTGCCTGAGTAAGGTAGGAAGCTCATTTCCACGATCGAAAAAGATTCCCCTGCGGCTGCTTAAGCTGTCGGCGAGCGGTGTGAATGTTGTCAGTGAGGAGGGAATCAGCACAGAAGAGAGAGAATGCACAATACATGGAAGACTTAAATTTTCACTACAAACTGAGAGCTCTGTAAAAACTCGCTTTCACGTCGGTCCCCCATCCTTCCAAAAACAGGTCGGAACCCTCCCATCCAGCACCTCCAACCCACGCCCGTCGCGGTCAAGGCGGGGAACGGAAGCTTAAAATCTAAAGAAACCTGGGAAATGTAGTTCTTCAGAAACTCCTGCTTCGATCCGCGTTAGAGGGCTGCCCAGGTCTTCCACTTGTACTCTCCTAATCTCCCCGAGGTTGAAGGCTTTTGGCCTGAAGCTCCCTATATTATTGCGCAGTACTGTCTGAACGAGTGCCCAGTTCGCACCTGTACATGAAGCAGAAAACTAGTACCATAAATTAGTACCATTGTATCTTTCACCCGCAGGCAGCCAAATATCCTGGGGACGTTTTGATGAAAAGGTGGAAAAAAAGGATAAAAAAACAAGGACTGGGAAGAGGCAAAACAAGAGATCTAACATCGATCTTGCGTTTGCTTTATTAAATCTTATAAATCCTCATTCAGCATTGGGCCTCAAGTCATAACTTTGAAGGTATAAGAAAAGGTAAAGAAGGACATTTACATGTTTCCAATATTCCAAACTTGGCTTATAAATGACATTGGAAAACAATGAATATACTTTATATTATGCAAGATGGGGGGAGGGGGGGGGGGCAAAAAGACCTGAATGGGAGATGTGTTCCAGAAGTGTGTCTTAGAATTAAACTTCAGTAAGGAAGGAAATTAGATATATTAGCATTCTCATAAACCTATTTCTACAGCAGTGTCTGCTTTTTTGAATAGCTGGCAGATTTTCAAAATTGTATTTTGTTACCAGAAGTAATCACGAAATGAATATTGATATATTCATCAACAAAATAAACTGACTTCATGGTGGTCTGGGGTATTCAGAAGACAACTCTCATCAGGTTTCTTCAAATTTGCTGCTTCTTTCTAGTGTAGGAAGTTAGCACCCACCCTTCTCCTAGAAAAATGAAATATACTGGGAAATATTAAAAAGGCAGAATATTTCCCCTAAAGAGAGTAGAAACTCATAAGCAGAAACTCAGCCCCCCCCCCTTTGCTAATGGGCCATTAAAGCCTAGGCCAGAGTACATAATAAAGGCCTCTACCCATCTCATCACCTGGCCTGGGAAGATTGTATCAGCCAGCACTCAGGTGAAGCCGTTTGGTCCAGACAAAGCCTACAAAGTTAGCTAAGACCCCCACCCCTGGGAGCCTGACAGCCAATGGGATACATTTCTTGCACAGGAACAGGAAACACTAAGGTGGGGCCCAACAGAGGGTATATAAGGGTCTCTCAGCATCTTGGCCTTCCCTTTTTACCTTGAAGCATGTGATCCTAGTCTAGTAAAGAGAAGGACCAGGGGAGACATGATAGAGGTCTTCCAATATTTGAGAGGCTGCCACAGGGAGGAGGTGGTCAAGCTATTTTCTAAAGCGCCTGTAGGCCAGACAAGGAATAACAGATGGAAACTGAACAAGGAGAGATTTAACCTGGAAATAAGGAGAAACTTTCTGACAGAACAATCAACCAATGGAACAGGTTGCCCTTGGAAGTTGTGGGAGCGCCATCACTTGAGACTTTCAAGAAGAGATTGGACTGCCATTTGTCAGAAATGGTGTAGGGTCTCCCGCTTGGGCGGGGGGTTGGACTAGATGACCTACAAGGTCCCTTCCAACTCTGATTATCTGTTAAATCCTTTTCACTTTGGAGCTCCAAGCCATGTGGTCCTGTCCACCATTAAACCATCTTTCCAAACCGCCTCTGTTTCTAGTGTCTTTTTCCCCACTTGGAACTGAACCCAGAATGATAATTCTTCTAACACTAGATACATTGAATTTCAGCAAAAGTGCTTAAGTTTTGGTACCAAAATCCATAAAAAGGATCGAGGCTTGTCTATAGAATGTGTGTGCATGTGGAAACCAATCCTGGAAATTCCCAGCTAGAAAGTAACTTTTCTTCTTGAGGGGAATAGTCTAGAGCCGTTTCTCAACCTTAGCAACTTTAAGACAAGTAAACTTCAACTCCCAGAATTCCCCAGTCAGCATTGGGAGTTGAAATCCACTTGTCTTAAAGTTGAGGAACATTGCTCTCCAGAACGCTCCAGGATTTTTTAAGCATGCTGAGCGGGCACAGAATGCCGACTGACAGGCAAGGGAGGAAATAAAGGTGAATGGAGTGTCCTGGGAGTGTCCATGGGTGATACAGAATAGAAGCATTACATCTTGCAGGTTCTACTTATTGGAAATTTTTTAAATTAGTGCAGTATCTAAACACTAAAACAAACTAGTTAAGAAATACTTTTGATCACTGTGAAGCTATGAATTTTTTTCTCCCAAACGGAAAAGGTAATTGAAACTAGTATCTTGCTGCTCATTTTCCAATTTGAATTTAGTCTCTAAAGGGCAGTTTATAAGTTCAAGTATGAAGAGTGTGTTAGGTATAACATTGATACCAAATATGGTTTGGGTGAATAAATAT